ATCAGACGGGGCAGAGGCTGCCCTGGCCATACCTGCCCCTCAACCCCATCAGGAACCAGCACTGGCTCCGTGGTCGGGAGGTCCTGTGGGTAGCCCCCGGTGTGTCTTGAGCTCCGGATTAAAAACATAGACTAACTGATTTAAAATAGCAGTGCCAGAATCCTAACAAGATTATTTAACTTTTAAGGGGGGTGGGAGAACATTTTTTCATGCATTATTATTGATTTTCAGTATTGTACAAAACCCGGCCATGTACAGCAATAACACAGGAAAAGATACAATCATTGCAAACCAATTACAGCTCAAACACCCAGTTCTGGGTGGTGACTGCACACCCTGCCCCTCGCTCAGGCTCAGGCCCTGCCAGCAATGCACACCCAGGGGCAAAAAACCCACAAAACCAGAATTTAAAATGTAACAACTCCATGTCCTGCTGCAGTGCTCTGCTGGGGCATTTCCTCCCTGAGGTGCTGATGGTGTATCTTTCCCTTCTGCAGTAAGTCACTGTCTGTCTGTCCTGTTCCCAAGCAAGGAGGCAGAGCAGGATGTGACCCAGAGGAGCCTCCCTGATCCGAGGCAGATGTTTGTGGGCGCACTCCAGTGAGCAGAGCAGTGTCCTCATTGCAGAATCCCAGAACGGTTTGGGTTGCAGGGGACCTGAAAGCCCATCTCATCCCACCCCCTGCTATGGGCAGGGACACCTTCCCCTATCCCAGGTTTTTCCAAGCCCTGTCCAGCCTGGCCTTGAACACTGTCAGAGATGGCCACATCCTGGTGTGCCTCAGCCTCTACAAAGATCCATGTCCCTCCCACAGTCCCTCACAGAGCAACCCCAGGGCTCGATAAATGGCTTCATTTGCTGCGTGGAGCGGGCTATGCCCTACAATCGATGGTGGCTCTGTGTGTGGGGGTGACATGGGGACACGACTCCAGCCATGTGTGTGCCAGCCCTTGTAAGCGATGGAGTGTAAGAAAACAGACAACCAAAACCTCTCTAGGACTGTGAAAGTTTTATGGTCATTTTTCCAATTACATAATAGAGTTCATAATCTGTTATGAATTAGCATAAATAGGAATCAGCCCACAGTTAAGAAAATAAGTTAAATTGCATTTTGTGAAGCATTGTTCTGTCTGTTTGAACAGTTTGCTCTTGTGCTGCTAACCTGGCAAATCTGGTAATTCACAGCAGTCTCCTCAGAATCAGTGGGAATTACTGAGGTTTTACAACAGCCTTGGGTACTGCAGACAGTACCGGTTTCAAGAGAGCAGAGCGCCCTTCAGAAGCCAGACTACTGAGTCTGTGTAATGTTGGATACTGGGAGAAATTCCTTCATGGAAAGGGTTCTCCAGCACTCTCACAGCTGCCCAGGGCAGAGGTTGAGTCCCCATCCCTGGAGGGATTTAAAAGCCGTGTGGATGTGGCACCTGGGGACATTGGTTAACTGCTGGCCTCGGCAGTGCTGGGGGAACACTTGGACTCAGTGAGCTTGGAGGCCTTTTCCCACCCAAATGTGATTTTGTTCTGGCCATTGTCAGGCAGGTGGGAATCACCACCACACCAGCTTAGCGGTCAGAATTTGTGGATGGCATTACGGCTGTCATCATGGCATCCCCAGATCACGTCAGGAGTGATGTTCAAATGGCAACTGGAGACAAGAAGGCAGCAAGGAGCATGTTTTCATCACCCCTCATGGCTTGGTCTGCAGGGAGCCACAGCCCCCGGGCATGGGGCCTGAGCAGGTCACTGGAGGAGCCTCCCCACTCCCTTGTGTGGGGTGATGATGGCTCCTCTGGGAGCTGCCTGGGAACTGAGCAGCTGCTGCACAGCACAGTGCATCTGATACAGGACATTAGTGAAAACAATCATATTTTCTCTGTTTTCATGTCAGGTTTTCAGAATGATGTGACCAGACCAGTGTGGTAAGGGTACAGCCCTGTCCTGACAGCATTTAGTTTGGTTGTAGCTGTCCAGAGTTGGGGAGGAGTGGGACAGTGGGTGCAGTGTGTACTGTGTCCTGGCTGGGCACTCAGTGGCTGGTTTGGGGTGAGGGGTGGGAGGGATGTGCTCCCTGCTTCATTCCCACAGCGCCTGCCCCAGCTCTGCAAACAATGATGCAGCTTCGGGTTTTCAGCATCTTAGAGACAGTTGATTTTTCTAAATTTGCAGGTCATCTATGATGGAACAGGGGGTGTGGCAGCCGACTCTTTCCCTGCTCAGTGACACACACAGCATCCTTCAGGCCAGACCTGAGGTTGTTGCCTCTTCCAGTACCTCCACCGGTGTTTCTGACAAAGAAGGGGAGTCCACGAGCCCTCACTTCTGAAACAAAAGCCTAATGAAAGGGTCGGCAGGCCCTGGCTCGGTGGTGGCTGTAGTTCTTGGCAGGGTGTGACATGCCCATCCTCCTGAATTAGCGTGGGGCAGTGGAATTTGGCACGGTGCTAATTGCGATCAGACGGGAACAAGTGGCCTCCGTGTGTGGGCACGTGGTGGGACAAAGCAAGCGCCCCGAGCCCGCGTGTGCCCCTGGCCCTGCACGAGGGGGGCAGGGGCTGCCCGATCGCTGCTGCCCCAGGCAGGCTCGGGGCCGCCCCCGGCTCCCCGTGGGCTTTGTCTCCATACTGGCGAGGAGGGCTCCGGTTGTTCAGCGTGGGCTTTGTCAGATGCTCTTTCTTTGCCGTACAGTAACTCAGCTGCTTTAGAATCAGGGCAGCTGCTGATGGGGAAAGCTCCCTGCCAGTCACAGCCACGCAGGGAGGATTCCCACGTTAATCAGGAGCCCCAGGAGAGGAGCCAGTGAGGCTGGGCAGAGGGACAAGCCTCCTTTCACCAGAGCTCCCTTTCTAGAAAACAATCCTTTTGTGACAGGTTCAGAGCCATTTGTCTCTGTCGTCCCATCCCACCAACTGTGGGAGGTGAGCAGGGGCCGTGCCCTGGTGCAGGAAGGTGCCCCAGGGGACGTGGGCTGTGCCACTGCTGTGGCACCAGGAGCAGGGCCACGAGCCACAGTGCCATTCATAGGATGCATCAGCGTCCTGTCTCCAGTCTGAACTCTGGGAGGTTTGGTAGGAACTCTTCTCTGTTAGTCTTAAACTTGACTTTCCTGAAAAATTCTGTGTTACCTTCATTACCTGCATGTCACTTTGCTGTCTCCTCTTGCCAGGTTATTTATAACTAAGCTGAGGTAGTGCAAAATTTCTGCTCCCTCCCTTGCTAACGTTATGTTCGTGCCCTTTTTTCCCTATCTTTCCATCAGGAATTCGCAGGAAGATTAATCCTCCTTTCTCCATGACAGTTTAGTTTCCTTAAGAACCTTTAGTGAGGGATGTTCTAGAAAAGCTTTTAGAAAATCTGATTCCACTGTATCAGCCCAAATCTCCCGTATTAGCAGGGCTGGTTCCTTGTCAGACAACTCGGATCTGTACATATAAACTCTTCTCTTGGCATTCAGGCTCCTCCCCAGACATGTGTTTACTCACCACTGCTAATTCCAACCAGTCCCACAGTTTTCTATCCTTTTGCCTCTACTGGAAGTCAGACTTTGTGGTCTGTGATTCCCATGGTCACTCCTACAGCCTATTGTAAAAATTTATCACCTTCCGGTCCTCAGATGCAAAGGAAGAAGGTTCAGCAATTTCATATTTGGGCTCCTTGAGGACTCTGGAGGGAGCCCTGTCTGCCTCTGGTGATTTGTTGCTCTGGCATATGAACCCTCCTGACCCCTCCATAGTGAACAGCAGTGCAAGGAATTAATTTAATTTTGCTACTGTGCCCTTATCTTTCTTAATTCCCCCCCTTTACGCCTTGCTCATCCATCAGCAGCACTGGGTGACGGACAGGCTTCCTGCTTTTGTGTTGGAGAAGTTTTTATTAGCTCCCTGAACTCTGGTGATTGTTCTCCAGGCCCCGTTTTGCCTTGCCTTATCGTGGGTTTGCACTTAGCATGCTGGATTTATGTCCTTTTTCTATTTTCATTGTTTGGAAACAACTTCCATTTCCCTGAAAGTACCTTTTTTATTCTGGATAGCTTCCTTGTTCTGTTGGTTTAAACCAAGCTTTCAATGTGTGGTGGTTGAGCCTTTCACCTGGTGTGTCTCACATGCACTCCTGTCCCAAAGCGCGTCATAGAATCATGGTTAGGGTTGGAAGGACCTTAAAACTCACCTCATTCCACCCCCTGCCATGGGCAGGGACACGTTCCACTAGATCAGGCTGCTCCAAACCCCATCCAGCCTGGCCTTGAGCACTCCCAGGCATGGGGCAGCCACAACTTCAGGGGTAGAGGGTAGACAGAGGAATAACAAACTGGGCAGAGGCAAACCGTATTTCACAAGGCTTTTGTAATTCCTGGTGATAATTTCCTGACAGCTTCAGACATGTGACTGCAACAAGAACCACCATCAGCATGGGAGAGTTCCCATCCCAAAAATCTCATGGCATCAGTTGCATGACACCTCCTGGTCAGCTGCCCACACAGGTGCCAAGCTGTGCACCCACAGGGATGGTTTTCCTTGGGAAGCAGGTGGCTTCTCATGAATCCAGCTGTTTTCCCTGACTCTTCATTGTGTTTGTTTTCCTTCCTCATGTCTCTGCTCCCCTGCTGGGTGTGTGAGCAGCCAGACTGGGCTGCCCGGGATAGAACAGAACAGCCCACAGAGCTTCTGTGTTTGCTGATGGCTGAGCCAGGTCCATGGTACAGATAAACGTGGGCTTTCCATTGGCAAAGCCATGTAAACTTAACTGGTACAGTCTTATCCCTATGAAGCCAGAAAGCTGGAAGGTGGAGCTGTCTGGTTTGTAGGAGGCAAAATATACCTGTCATAAAGGTGCTACAGGTCAGCCTTCAGTGTCAGGAGAGGTGGAACCGTTGGGAATGTTGTCTGAGTTGGAACTGAACACAAAAAATATTAACAACTCCATGCTATACCCAAACTTCTGTTGCTTCTGGTGCATTATTCCAAATCCTTCAGGACATTTTATGTACTTCTTTCATTTGCAGGCTCTGATCTGGAGAGTTTATACTGACTTTTTCCAGTCTGAATAGGAACCATCTCCTCTGCTCCACTCACTGGCGCCGGATCCTGCGACATCTCTGCATTTCCACATTGAGGTAGGAAGACCTAAATTTTGTAAGCCTTGGAGAGGTGATTTTGGTGTGGTTGCCCTCCTGGGATGTGTAAGTAAATCACCTGGATTAAGGGAGGTACATGTAACAGAATCATGCTGTTCTCTGGCAGGGTTGGGAGTTCTTTGTGTTCTCGGGGAGCCACAGGATTTGCTCGCTCTTCCTTTTCACGGTTTTGTGGTTTTATTTAAATGCCATCTGTGTGAAGTGTTTCTGAGCACCTGACTCACTGGTCAGTTGCTTTGGATCCTCTTATTTTCAATGAAAAGGTGTTTTTTGAACAAGGCCATCCTTGGATTTTTTTTTTCCTACATGTCTACGAAGCTGATACCTTGCCAAGCTGTAGTTCTGTGTGGGCCAGTGGCGAACCACTGGGGCTCTGTATTTAATTATTTATGTTGACCCTAACTGTTAGTTTCTGTCATTAAGAGCAGGCCAAATGATTAGTGCCCCTGGCTTAATCTTCTTAGCAGGAAAACTGTCCCTTGAATGTCTGTCCAACTCAAACGGGCATAAGGAGGGATGAGAAAAGGACAAGATTCCTGACCCTGTTCATTTTTCATGTGAATTGGTGAAAGTAAATCATATTTGGATGGCCTGTCTTAATTCTTAAATATTCAGTTCCCTAAAACTGTGGTAAATGATGTGCGGGCAGAAAGCACATCTTCCTGAATGTGGGAAAAGTATCCCTTCCTTTCCTACCGATCACTCCACCATGAGATTTGACACTGGAAAGCTCTATACCAGTAGTCCAAGTATAGTAATTTCATTCAGAATTATTTTATGTGTTACTAGAAATCAGTGAGTCACTGTTAAGTACCTGGTTTTAATGTATCTGTATATTCTGAGTTATTATAAGGTCCTTCATAATCTCTGGGATACTTGGTAAAATCAAACTTACCTTGTGTGATACCGATAGCAGTGGAAGGATTAATGGCAGGCTTCAAAAAATACTCATCAGAGTTCTCTGTCTCGATGGAAAACTGAGAAATGTAATTTGGAGTTGGATTTTTTTCTTGTATTTACTTTTTGGGGTATTTTTATCCTTTAAGGAAAGCTTCTCTCCTGCTTTCTTCCTACGTTTTTATCTGAAGTATTTTGTTTACAACACAAGTGCACACTTCAATTTCTTGAGAATCATCAGACTTATAAATTAAATGGAAGCTTTGGGAAATCGTGTGATGGGCAGACACTCATTCGCTTTGTGCTCTCAATATCTCAGAGGATCCTGAGCAGAGCTTCTACTTTTTCCATTTAGTTTAGAAACTTTGCAGGCCTTAGTGTCCTTTGTGGGGTGGGTGTATGGTGTTCTTAAGGTGTTGTAAACTGAATCCAGAGATCTGGGGGAGGAATGCTGAAATCCCACCTTCCCTGTGGTCAGTGTTCTTGACTTTGATATGAGAATGAGAGGGAAAAAAGATGGAACACAGAAAGGACAGAAAAGCACAGAGAAGGTAAGAGAGGGGTAAGGGGAGTGGCATCAGGACATTTGGAAACATTTTGGAGAGGGCGCACACGTGGTCACTTGTGACTTTCTCACACTGTTATGTCATGACTGATTTTGTTGTATTGGAAATTGCAAGTTTTCTTTAAAAACATGCAGCACCTACCAGAGGACTCCATTTTGGGATCAATCTGTGTGCTGCTTCCATTAATGACTGGAGCAGGAAAAGTGGGATTATGCTGAGGGAATCCCTCCCAGCCTCAGAGCTTCATCAGACTGAGGGGGGTGATGGTGCTGTGAGGAAGTGAAACAAGCTCAAACCCAAACTGGTACTGGGGAAGCAGTGAAGATGGGCAGTGAACACCTCGGGGAGCTTTGTGGGCGATTGGTTTGAGCATCTTAGTCAGTTAAAACTGCAGGTTTGATGGTGTTGAAGAAACAAACACAGGTGGTGAAAAGCAAGTATGGGGTGAGTAGGGAAGGACCTCACACAAGTGGGAAGAAGCCAAGAAGAAAGCCTCCAGAGGAGAATAATTCTTCTAAATGTCCACAGGAAAATGGGCTTTTGTTTCTCAGAATTGTAACTTTTAAATTTGTATACAGCTGGTACAAGCAGGTACGGTTTCATTTTGCCGGAGGGCAGGATAGCGTGAGGCTCATGTGCCTCCAGAAGAGGCCCAAAGCCTTAACCAACTGCAGGGAGGAAAATCAACAATACTGGTTCTGTGTCAGTAGAACACACTCTGTTCCCTTCCCCTATAAAAAAGGAACTTTCTTCTCCATGCTATTTGTAGTGTTCTTTTTGGATCTAGAATAGGCTTGGTCATTAGATGGAAGGCTTTGATTTCAACCTGGTGAGGAAAAGACCATTGTTCATACTCTGCTATAGTTGCATGGATTTTGTTATGGGGTATTATGATAATTACCTTTTTAGTGGCTAATTACTCCTCTGTAAGTGTGAAGGAAATGTAGAATATGGGACCAAGGCTGTATTGCAGAGTAAAAGAGGGGTATTTGTTAATGTCTTTTAATACGTGTCTGGATATTCTGGCATAAGAATATAACATATTTTTAGTAACTTTCCTCTACTTTATTTCAATACTAAACAAAAAGAGTGGGAATGTGTTTGTAGCTCATCACCTGGGTGATATGCTGACATATGAGAGACAGTTCTCATGTGATTTCCTAAAATACTTTTTCATTTTAACTGGCACAAGGCTCTTTCAGAAGCTGCTGTGGAAATGTGGTTTTATTTCAGTGGCTCCAAAACACTTTGGCCCCACATCATCAGTCCAGCCATGGTCAGTAAGAACCCTGAGCAAGCAGAAAACATTTGGCACTGGCACAGGTTGCCCAGAGAAGCTGTGACTGCCCCATCCCTGGAAGTGTTCAAGGCCAGGTTGGATGGGACTTGGATCAACCTGGGCTAGTGGAAGGTGTCCCTGCCCGTGGCAGGGGGTGGAGAGAGATGAGCTTTAAGGTCCCTTGCCACCCAAACCAGTTTGTGATTCTGATTTCACCGCTGTTTTGCCATGTTTGCAATTAAAAGTGTAATGATGGGGACTGGTGGTAGTTTAGGATAAATTTTGAAGGTTCTTAAGGGCTTTAGTTTGTTTATCTAATTGTGAAGGTAGATTAAACTACACTGAGTAAGATTATCCAGCATGTCCTTACCATGTACAGATTAGAGAGGTTTCCTCAGACATGAGCTGGTTGTTGTTTTCCTCACTGGAAAATGTGGACATGTGGCAGGTGTTGAGAGATTTTCTTCTAATTTCTCCGAAAGATAAAGTCTTTACATTGTCTGTCTTTAAAACATTTAAACTATAGATTCTTAACCAGTGAAATCAGCTGGAATTAGCGGGATACCTCTCTAGACACACACAGAGCACAGGAGCCTTTGCCCGTGTGACCCAGCCTGCAGTAAGAGCTGGGTACAGAATGATAAAAGGGACTGAAGCCCATTTCCCTTTTCCCTGCTACCATGCCTATTTCCCAAAGGTACAGATTACACAGACTCTCAGAGCTCAGAGAACTGTGCCAGTGACACATTTTCCAGGATGCTGTGCCGGGCTCTCTCCGAGCCGAGGGCGGTGGGAAGGTGTCCCTGGCCACGCTGCTGGACTCCAGCCCCTCGGACCTGCACACTCAGCCTGGCCACAGAGCTCTGGGGCTGAGAACATCCAGATTTGCTTAAAAATCCTATGACAAGTACATAAACTGTGCCTCTGTGCCATTTAAAGCCCCACGTACACCATTTACAAACAAAAATCATACAACATAGATTATTTCAGTTTTTCCCGTATTTGATCGATCCTGATAAAAAGGCCATGCTTGGATTAAATCTTTTTATTCTTCACAACCACATGATACTTTAGAGGACAGTAACATTTGTGAAATAATCCATTTAAGGGATAATACAGGAGAGGAAAACACCCGAAGAGCCTGGTGCCATGTCCAGCATCCTGCAGGCTCTGGGCACAGGGGCAATGGCTCGTCCATGCTGTCCCCTGTGGCCACCGTGCCTTCCCGTTGAGGCTGCCTGTGCTGCTAGGCCAGAGCAGAAGACTGGTGTGAATGAACTTGAGTGATTTTAAAAGTCTGTGTTTGCAGGCACTGAAAGTTTTCTCTAAGCCTGTCGAGTAGCAGAGAGTAATTCCTGCATTACCAACAGCCGGAGCAGGGACAATGAGGACCAACCTCTCCTTCTGGCTGGTTGCTGGTATTTGTTTGAGAGTCTGTAAAGACAATGCTACAACATCCTTACACACACCACCGGCTTTGTAGTAACGGTCTCCTTGGAGCCTTGGCACGGGGAAGGACATGCATGTCCAGGCATTTTCCAGGTGGCAGGATTTCCTTCTCCTCTGGTCCCAGCGCCGCGAGCCCCCTCCTTTCAGCCCCAGCACCGTTTAAATAGATCATTTGTTTTCATTATAGGTTTTTGCATCTCTGCCTTTCATTGCTGTTAATGAATTTCTAAGGTCTGATTGGGAAACAAAAGCCAAACACAAACATAAAAAGGGCTGTGACAAAGGAGCCGGTTGAGCGTCTGGCAGGCTGTGGGAGCGGGGCGATGGCCATGGCTGCTGCGGGGTTGACACCACTGGTTAGTATGCTAATCTGCTCCTCGGCGTTTAAGATTCCGCTCAGGTCTGCGCAGCTCGGCGAGCCCGGCGTGGGGAAGGGGTGTCTGCCCGGCAGCACCGACCGCGCCGCGTCCATGACACACATCCCGGCATCGTGCCTGCGCTGCCACGCGCTCGCTCCCCTCGCCCACCCCGCTCCCCTCCCTGGGCACACACATACATACCATCCGGAAAGCTTCCTGCAAATGCTGAAAAACACGGAATGTGGAAAAGCCATGTATGATTGGCTCGTTCCTCTGCCTCCGCGTCCCCAAAGATTCCCACTTTAATAGACCATGTGTTTCTGCTGCTGGAGAAGCCCAGAGTGTAACGTGCCAAAATTCAGCAACAATGAAGTCAGACGGAGTTTAACATCCAAAACAAAGGGACGGCATTTCTGTAGCTCACTGACA